ATTAATATGGGTATTCCAGGTCAAATTACTGGAGATATTAAGACCCAAAAGCTTTACATTTTCTACCACTTCTAAAGCATCGCCATTGATGAGAATGGGCTCAAATTCTTGCTGGAACTTTGAAAAGGATATTCGCATCTCTTTACACTTTTCATTGTTTAATTGGACTCTATTTTCCAGGGACCATTGTATTACTCTATCTGTATGACGCTGTGCGTTACTAAGCTCCCCTTTTGCAACTGTCTCGGAGATGGTGGTGTCATTCACATATTTCTATAAGCGAGCATTTTCGACTACTAGATCGTTGATCATAATTAAGAAAAGCCAAGGCCCTAGTTTGGTTCCCTGGGAGACGCCCGATGGTACTGATCCCCACTCAGATACACATCCCTCACTAAGTTTGATTCTTTGATATCTGTATATCGTTGAATTGCTATAGAAAAACCTTAGAAAATTCATCGTTTTCATAATAACACATTCTCTTCTTTTTTTCGCGGTTGCCCTCTCTATATGTCAGTTAATCACTTGACATCTATTCCGATCGATCGTTTGTGCCTGGTCGTTTCACAGTAAACATGAAATGATCACGCGCTTCTCATTGGCTGAAAGCGAGTGGGTTTTTTTGGAACGCGAGTGCAAAGTTGTAACCAGGGAGCAAAGTCGTAACACAAGTAAAAAGTTGTTACACGAGTAAACGCGAGTGCAAATTACATGTAATGCGCGCGTTTTCAAAATTTCGCCTGTTTCGACTTTCTATGATGCTTTTTTATGAAAATTATAAATAAGTAATAACATGATTTCCCGTGCGATTTCGTGTAAAATAAAGACTATAAATTGTAGGGTTTGTGCAATTTCGTTGTCATTGAAAAATTTACTGGTGCTTATTGATAAGAAATTGTGCTCAATTACTAATACATACTTCTATAAATAAATGATGTATTTTGGGCACTGATACCAAACATCTGAAACGTCGGAAACGGAGATATTGGTATTTTGCAGTCTCCCTCAACCACACCATAATTTTTTTGGAGACCAGTCAAATTTTCTCTACTTGTCTCATGTTCACGAAAATGAATTTACCTTTCACTGTATTTTCGTTTCGAATCTATAAATACAACAGTGACGAGCTCGTTTTGCTTTCCACATTTAACTCCCCATCGCTTTTTGATGGTTCAGAGGACACGCAGCCATATAGCAAACTGTCGCAGAACCGGAACGAATGGGGGTCGGTTGGTTTAATGTTGTCCAGAGGTCGGTAAGTAGTTGCTACAAGCTCTGACTGGCGACAGTTCAGAGCAAAGACTTAATTGTATTTGAAGTCGACCTTTTTCCTCTTTGAGTTTTTCAGAACAGTGGAACGATATGTTTTAATGGATGACTTCGAAATACAAAATGTAAATTAAGACGTTCTCAGGCAGTCCGTTTGATTTGATATTATTGAATTATTTTCTAGCGGTGTTTATCCCTCACAGAGACAACTTGTGCAGAAGAATTAAGGCGAATTACAATCGAAGCCCACGCTTTCTAATTGATTTAATTTTTGTAACACATCCGACGCAATTTCGTTATTCCACTTACTTTTGGCTTTGACCATATCCCAAGCTCTGGATTTCTGTTAGCGTTATCAAAGTCATCAAGCCATAAATTGTGTTTTTCACATCTTGAGTGAAATCACTAACATTCAGTAGAAAAAAGACATCCAAATGGATAAGGTCCAAGTGGCTCTTCACTGGGTTTCATCGCTGGTAAACCGGAAATTCGGTTTCACTCTGGACGAACATTTTTAAATGTTTGGCTTTTTGTTAATCATGCATGGTAAATGGTTTGTACTTACTGCACATAGAGAAATTTTATACTTGCCTGATAATCAAACAGCTATGTTTATCTATAAAGTAGCTGAGAAACTACGAGAGCCCTGATTGGTCAAAAACCTATCGTTTAGTGCACCGGCAGAAATTTGAAACCTTTATAAAGTTTGCTTTATAAAACTAATCCACCGCACTTTACATCGGTTTACCGGCATATTAACTCACGCAGCTCAGGGTGTCAAGAGAACACAAGCAAGGTTATTAACCACTCGCCTCCGGCTTCTGTTTTTCAAACTTTTCCCGTGTTCTTCCAACATACCGCATGAGTTATTACGCAGGTAAACGGATAGAAAGTGCGGTCCTGATTACTTAACCAACAGATGAGTTTTCCATCGGAAAGTGAAAAACAGTAACACTGAAAAACACAAGAAAAGATGAGTAAAATCACACATTAAACCAACAGCAACAAGCACTTTCATCGAACAGCTGAAAAGACTAAGGACACCAAACAATCTAAAAAAATATGAGTTTTCATAGCTGTATTCGTACCCTCCACAGAATTAATTGCAAGCGTTCAACATACTTGCAACATTTTCTCGCCATGAGGACACGAGCAATTTATCTTCTCTTGTTGCCCACCGAGACCAGCTCTGCTATTTGTGGGTAGTGCGTCATTTATAAAGTGTCAATAAAAAGTGTCAATAAAAAACAGTGTCAGTATCACTGTCAGTGTTTGTTACCAAAAACAAAGATCAGCGATAATTGGTTACTCACTAGCCCTTTTCTCCAATGATTCCATATTTTTCAAACGATTTCAGAGAATAGAGGTTTTGCACAGCAGCCCTGTTGGATGGCAGGAACAATGAAAATATTTTGCTTAAGAGAGAATTTTTTTCCCATGGGTAAAATAATCTATTGCAGACCTCTCAAGTCTCACGATTTTGTCGTGAGACTCACGATTTTCAGTTCAAGCTCACGGTCTCACAACGAGACAGACAAATCTCACGATAAATAGAGGCGTAAGCTGAAAGGATAAATTTTTTGTATAATTAATTTTTGGATTGCTAGTGGTGAGTTTTTTTGTGCCAATTCTGTGCAAATCCATTGACCACTTTCATAAATGGCTACCGGATTAACATTCTTTTGTTTAAATTTAAATTAGCCTTTCTGACCTCGTTCTCCAGTTCAAAATTCAAAAGAATACATTATCTCAAGCGAGGCTAGTGAGGCTAATTTGAATTTAAACAAAAGAATATGAATCCGGCGGCCCTTTATGAAAGTGGTGTATAACAAACCAGGAAACACCGTGAGTCGTCCATGACCATATATAGAACACCTGTTTCCAAATTAGTTCATCATAACCAGTCTCTCGCATTTTGACACGACACGTTATCAAAAGGCGGCAATTGATGAACCTGATGAATATTATATTTAAAGTTTATTTCTGACTGTGTTAAGGTCCACGTAAATTATGAGCAGGACAAAAAACACTTTCTCTTAATTTAAGAACCTGTGTTTACATAGTTTTGTCTGCCGGTCGTCCAATCTCCAGATTTTTACTGAAATCTCCAGATTTTTTTACATCAGTCTCCAGATTTTTGGTGTCTTGAGGTTGAGAGGTCTGCTATTGTTCCTGCCATCCAACATGGCTGCTGTGCTAAACCTCTAGTATTTCTTGACTTTTACTTAGGGCGCTATTTTAAGCTCTGTTTTGATTGGTCTATTCACACTTAGTTCCCAGTCCTTCAGTGTAAGGAAGAGAGGCGTTTTCAACATGGCTGCAGGGCTACCCCACTCACCTTGTACATGTAGTTAGGAGTTGTTGGTACATAGGTTTTGGTGCCGGTATGCAGAAGCAGCCCATACCACCCGCTAGAAGTCATAAGCAAAGGATAGTAAGTGCTCCCTGTCAACTTACTTTTTTAAACTTTTAAAATGAAAACTGATCGTGGAAATATCTAGACACAAATCGAGAAGTCCAAGTTATGGTTGATGTAAGGATATCATACATTTCTCATAGCTCTTGTGTGCATGTACCTACGTACTTATATCAGTCTGTTCAGTCATGTTTTCTTCGATTCGTGCTTTGGTTTTGTAGAAGTCGCCATCTGACCATTAAAAGGCAAGTTTCTCGTGCATCAAACCGAGGACGGTGTTCGAGAAACGTGTCGAAAGTTCAGTTGCTCAGCTTTCAGTTATTCGTGTCAAATAACTTTTGGAGTAAATATATCTTATTAGACGTTTTGTTGTGTAGTATCGCTGAGTATTTTTACGGGTTGTGCCGTACAAATAACGAGTAAAAATACTCAGCGATACGACACAACAAAACGTCTAATAAGTTACTTATTATCCAACACGCCAAACTGTTAGTTCAGTGCGAGCGAATTTCGCGAATGTTTATTTACGGGGAGTGCGTGACAGAAGTATGCGAAGCAGAACGGAATTGGCGCGTTGGTGTGCTGCTGTTTCTATTTTCTTCATTAAATGAAGAAATTTTCTGGTCGTCAAGCTGTTTTTCTTCGTTCGATTCATCTAATGAATTTGGATCTATATTTGCCAGCCATTCTGACTCTT